AATTTTTGATTTTCAATGTCTACCTTTTTTTTTTTTCTTTTTTGGTTGTATTAGATGGCCCTTCTATTCTATATTTTAGGTGATCAGCATTAACCTTCTTGATCCACAGACAGACCCACCCTCTTTGCTCTTGCAACACCAATTAGGAATAGTTTTTCTGCTTTTGATCAGATTATCTACTACCAGAATTTTCACCTGGGATATCTCCCTGCAAAAAAGACCAACTGAGAAGGGCCCTTCAAATTTTCAAATCCCTTTCCAAGGAAAGTGAAGTGTGTCACCCTCCAACTTGTAATAAGACTTCACTTTTAATTTCCTCAATTTGGAGTACCAACCAATGTCATCTTCCTTCGAGCCCTGTACTAAGCTCCTGATACAACAGTTTCAAAAGAACTTGTATCCCCTGAACCTTCCTATCGTGGACGTCTTTAGATAGTTAGATAGTTACTTCTTTTTCATTTCAGCCCAGTTGATTGCATCCATTGGACTTCTGCTGCACAACTATCTTTGCTTGAAGACGAAATGCGGAGGGTAGAAAGAGTAAATGTGAGGCACACGCTTAAAGTTTCATTGCTTCGCAGTTTATTTTACAATAATTTGTGTATCTGATATCACTATGTTGAATCTGTTTATAGTTAACAGAATTTGTGACTTTTTGGCTTGCTGTTGTCTATTTTCAAGTTTAAATATTATCTTTATTGCAGATCCAAGGGATTTAACATCATTTTCAAAACGGGTTCAGGCCCAAAAATCACCCCAAAAATCTGAATATCTGGGCATGACTTGCCTTTTAGACATGATGTTACTTGGGTTTCACTGGTTTCTTAACATAGAATTCATAATTTCTTTTATGAGTTACATCTTTGGAATGATATTAGAGACTAGTTTTTCTTGCTTGATATTCTACTGTAGAGATGAATTCATCAGGACACCTTCAAGAGACCAAATAATCTTTCAAAACTTATCTTCTAATATGTGACATTGTCAGTTACTTTAAAATAAAAATAAATAAAAAATAAAAAGGAAGAAAATCTTCATCTCACATTAAAAGTATGCCTTAGTACTGTGCATGATAACTTTGTTCATTTGTCAAGTTCATTAAAAATAAAAACTGAAATAGTTAAAAATTAACGGTTTTCATTAATGACAATCAGGTTGCACTGATGCTTTCAGAAATGGGATCTTCTTTGGTGGATGTTTTTAGAATGGTAAGACCTCAATGCTTTCAAAAAGTTCTCAAGTTTTTAACGAAAGGTCTAACAAAAGGTCTAACAGCTTTCATTAATGACAATCAGGTTGTCTGAATTTTATTATGGATAAAGTTGAGTGGTTGTGATTTGCAATTTTTGTTTTTGTAATGGAAGATGATTTTGTATGCAGATGGCTGTGACCACATACAACACATCCCTTCCTTATGCTGAAAGATATAGAAATGGTCACTACCTGAGTACCTAAATTTAGAATGTGAAATTTTGTATTTGAACTGGTCTGTCCAGGGCCTTTTAGATTGTTAAGTCTATTGTTTAATTTCAGGAAAAGTACAGGTTGCCTTGGTTTGGAATATTAGAAAAGAGAACTCCCCTTCCTCGAAAAAGTTAAATGCTTTGGCCAATGTGTGCCCATTCTCTCTCTCTCTCTCTCTTTCATTTTTATATTTTCTTTGGACATGATAGTTTATTTTAATTCATTGACTGATGTTCAAACTGTTGTTTGTAGTTCTTATGGAGATATGGTGGGCCAAACAGGAAAGTCCATTTAATTCATTCTGTTTGGGCAAACTTCCAGACTTCAATTAACAATGTGAGTGTAAAGTGTGTGGGTTTTTGTGTCTGTGCACATGTGTTTACTTGTTGGCGTGGGCATCCATACACTAAGTATGTTTAGTATGAAATGCTTCATTTGTTTGTTAAAGTGGATATAATTAGCTTGTAATTTTTTAGAATGTTGGTCTCATTGCTAAGATGGTGTTATTTTGATGATCGTTTGTGTTGTCCTGAGACTGTGGAGGTGGTTGAGAAAGCAACTGAACCTCTTTTATGAAATGCTCTTACCAAGAACACAAAAGATTCATAATTCTACTTTCATGGAAACAAAAGAAAAACTCTGTTCAAAGCTTTCTTTCTCTGTTTGGGTAAAAAGCCTCATTCCAACCAAGTAACATAACCACTACCATCTTTAGGAACACTCAAGGCACCCAAAAAAGGGACAGTTACACCGCTCAAATATTTCAATCCATCCAACAGTATATAAGAAGATGATCCACAGACAGACCCACCCTCTTTGCACTTGCAACACCAATTAGGAATAGTTTTTCTGCTTTTGATCGGATTATCTACTACAAGAATTTTCACCTGGGATATCTCCCTGCAAAAAAGACCAACTGAGAAGGGCCCTTCAAATTTTCAAATCCCTTTCCGTCACCCTCCAACTTGTAATAAGACTTCACTTTTAATTTCCTCAATTTGGAGTACCAACCAATGTCATCTTCCTTCGAGCCTTGTACTAAACTCCTGATACAACAGTTTCAAAAGAACTTGTATCCCCTGAACCTTCCTATCATGTAATGATCTTTGTAACCCACATTGCATGCCATCACCTCTCCCTCTTATAAGTTTTTTCTTATATGCATAAATAAATATACATATCACGAAGGGAATAAATAATGATCTGAGCTGCTGCTCTCTGGTGTGCCCTACATCAGTTGATGTTGTCTGTGTGCCCTATCTGCTATGCTGCTTGTTGCTATGTTCAAATACAGTCTTGACGCTGTTATGTTGCTATTGTTTGTTTGTTTGGCCTATCTGCTGCTATCATTTTGCTTAAACTAACATCACAAAAACTTGCTTAAACTACTTTTACAACAGCTTTATCTAAATGTCAGGAAATTATGGTCTTCATACAAAAGAGAGAAGGGAAAAATTGAACAAGAACAATTTCTTTATCATTTTTATTATGTTTCCATGTTGACATTATTTTTTGTGATCATGACTAACATGAATGAAAGCATCCACAAGCTGGGCTATTTATCCACCAATGAGAAGTAAACTCAGCTACTAATGTTAATCTGAGTAATTGCAAAGAACATAGTATTAAATCCTCAAGGTTTATTTGAGAAGAAACACCAAATGAAAAGGCCACTTAGACACTTATTAGATATTGTGTTCTCTTTCAGGTTAAGCGAGATTCAATGGGCTGCTTTCATTCTATTATGTGCAGGGTGCACCACAGCACAACTTAATTCTTCGTAAGAGTGATCCTGGCCATTTTTTAATTGTGTTTTTGATGGGTTTTCAAATTTGCTTTGTTCAGAGTTTGTTAAAACACATTGTTTTACTAGTCTATTTGGAACATTGGCCTTGAAAATTTCTTTAAAGCTGTTGTTGGATTGGTTCAGTTGGACTGGCATGAACGATGAGTATCCATGATATGCAGGCCCTGGCTCGTAACCAAGTGATGAATGAAAATCTTTGAATTACTGATGTTCTGCTTATACCTAAACGTATTTCTTAATGACTTTGAATTATATATCAGTTTCTTTATTCATGTTGCCATGGTTGAGAACAAAGGGACATTGTTCCTTGCTTTGTAGTTTTGGATATCATTTATAATTTATTTATTTTTCGTTATTATTGGCTATTTCTTACAAAGTGAGATTGTTTGTGCAGTTCTGATAGAGTCCTTCAAACTCCTTATCAAGGTTGGGTGATGGCCATTGTGAATTGTTGATGTTTTTAAGCTTAATCCCCTCAATTGAAGGGAAAGGCCTGATTCTTATTATCACTTGATACTTCCTTTTAACAATTGCAGGTTATGGCACTTCTAAGTGGTTTTGCAGGAGTTTACACAGAGGTAAATTCTTTAAGCATCTATCTGCCTCTTTTGTTGTCTGGAACTGCAGTGCTTGTTCAAGGCATGATTAGTGCTCAAATGAATTGTACAGCCAATATGTGCCAAAAAAAGAATTGCTCAGCCAATAGGATATGATCAGAAATTTGGTTGATTTTGGTTGGCAAATAGTTAAGTTAGTAACTCCCTAAAGAGGATCTTGATTGATGCTATGCTGAAAAGAAAGTATTTGGAATTCTCAATTGAGTACTTTAATAGTCATTATAGTTACTAGGTTTGCTTCTCTATCTCTATTCATACCCTTTTAAATCTATAACTAGTAAGATTTTATTGTTTCGAGTGGATGCAATGAACACTTAAAATTTGTGATTTTCAATGTCTACCTTTTTTTTTTTTCTTTTTTGGTTGTATTAGATGGCCCTTCTATTCTATATTTTAGGTGATCAGCATTAACCTTCTTGTTTAATAATAGCTTTTTTCACATGTTTTCTAACTTTTTGATAGTGCACACACCACATCTCTGACTTTGTAATTTTATAAAGACTCTTATTTTCATTAAACCATTTACACCTTATCTCATTTATCCTTTCTGAACAGAGCCTTCTGGACACTGTTTCGAATTGGCTATCTGACTGTACATTTATAGGGCCACATGTTTTCTTAAGTCCTAAGTCAAGATTAACTTGTATCAATTTCACTATCCTCACTATCACTACCCTCTGTCCTGGTAACAACTGAAGTTAATCACATTGATTTGTCTTGCTGCAACTACTCATTGTCTTTGTGCACCTGCTGCCAGATGAATTTACTTAATTTCATTGATGTTAAAATGCAGGCAGCAAAGAGAAGCCAAACACCTCTTCCTTCTTAGGTAAACAGGGGTAGCTATTGGGCTGAAACTTTTGCCTTCTAAGATTTAAATAGGGTATTTCAATGAATCGCTGTCTTTCATTCTTTCTTGTAAACTTTGTACAAATCAATAGGCCTTGGAATCTAATCCATAACTTGCTAATGCATGAATCCCCTTTTTTTCCCTGTCTGGTGGTGGGAGGGTGGGGGTATAGGATTTTGGATATTGGACTCCTTGAAAATATTTATTAATGATAGTTTGATAACCGCAAACATGTCGCATTCTTTCTTATCCTCCACCTCCCTAAACAACTCTCCAATTCTCTCTCTCTTTCTCTCTCAGATGAATTATGTTGGAAGCTTATTGGAGGTTTGCTTACATTATTTTTTCTTTGTACTTGCCATAGTGGATGAACCATGCATAGGGATTGACTTCTTCAAATGGGTGTCAATGAAAATTAGCAAATGCATTTCCTTAATTACTATTTATTCCTTTTTTTCCCCCCTCTCTCTTTATATATCTGAAGGTGAATGCTGACCGGATTATTCTTGACAAGACTCTTACTGATCAAGTGTCTATATGGAAAAGCAACAGAGGCCTGACTGATAAGGTGGTCTTGGACCATGATTGCTCTGGAGAAACATGTACTTACTATCAAATTGGAGATGTGTTTGTTTGTGAGAAGACTGGGCAGGTTCATGGTATGAAACACTAGTTGTGGTTATTGAATGTGGCAACCTTCTTTGTTTGTTTAATAAGTACAATTACATAGATTTTTATTAATGGTTTATGTTTTTTGTTCATGCAGTTTGTGATGATACATGTAAAGAAGCTGTTTTGGACCCTACAAATGAGCTTTTGGTTTGTACAATATCTGGACATTGTTTTGATAGATTGCTGTCACCAGCTGAAATGGAACCAGACACTGTAAGAGAGATCTCCTTTAGCTTATACTTTTGGCTTTTTGTCATAAAACACACTTAGACCTGTTAAAAATATGAAAATGAAAAAAGAAGAGCTAGACCTTCACTGTGCATGTCTATGGCTATCATGTGATGCTGTTGCCTCGTATACTTCACAATACATATATGAACTTATGATTGTTGGACCATCATCTCTTCATAGTGTAATCCTTTTCATTTGGTTAATCATATATGCATGTGTTTCAAACTGCAATCAGGGTGATAAATGTAATTGGCTAAAATCTTGTTATCTCTTTAAAATAATGGTTCCTTCTTTTACTCCTACGAAACTAGGAGTAACAGACTTTTAATTCAATAAAAGTCATCACCATCTGCTAAAGAACTAAATAAACTAAACTTCCTAGCGAAAGTTAGCACACGGAAGCTTCTCTTTTATGATTCAATGTTTTATTTTATAATTGTCCAGGAAATAAATATAACTACTCAGTGCTTAGTGTTCACAAATAGTATATAATTTTTGATCATCATGCAGGTGGATTCTGTAGTTTACCTTGTTGACGCGTACGACAAAGAGAGATTTGCAGAGGCCAAAAAGGAGCTGCATGCCCTATATAAAAAACAACAACAATACTGAACAATACTCAACCTTGTTAACAGCAGATGTTCTTTTTTTTTGAAATTGATGCTAATTATGTTAAATTTTTGTTGGGATGAATTGTTTTTTATTTTTTGGGGTTTAGAATAGGGTTTTGTGAATTGTTCCTTGTTTTTGGAATCAATGTTGCTGCTGCTGAGTTATGTGTTGAAACTTGGATATAGAAAATTTTATAATAAGACCTGTTTTGATAATGAATTCGTCCTATTTTGATTATGAATTCGCTAAATATTACAGGTGTATTATTTTCCTGCTTTGGCGACCAATTTATTAGTCG